GAAGAATGCCACGACAAATCCATAGAGCCACAGTGAAGATTGAACCCAATCATGAAGCAATTTGTGATGAAAGAGATTCTCAAATGGCTTGACGCTGGAGTAATATACCCCATTTCAGACAGCTCGTAGGTGAGTTCGGTTCAATGTGTGCCAAAGAAGGGAGGCACGACCATGGTGACAAGTGAAGACAACAAGTTGTTACCTACACGCGTAGTCACCGGGTGGCGAATCTGCATGGACTACCGCAAGCTTAACAAGGCCACCAAGAAGGATCATTTCCCCTTTCCGTTCATCGATCAAATGCTGGATTGACTTGCTGGCAAGGCATTTTATTGTTTCTTGGATGGATACTCAGGGTATAACCAAATTTCCATAGCACTAGAGGACCAGGAGAAGACAACATTCACGTGTCCCTATGGCACTTATGCTTTTCGAAGAATGCCTTTTTGACTCTGTAATGCCCCAGTAACTTTTCAACGCTGCATGCAAGCCATATTCTCAAACATGGCTGAAGACTTTCTAGAAATTTTTATGGACGATTTTTCTGTCTCCATAGATGACTTTAAAAAATGCCTCGACAATTTGGCAAAGGTACTGAAACGATGTGAAGAGGCTGATCTTGTGTTGAACTGGGAAAAATGCCACTTCATGGTGACTGAGGGCATTATTTTAGGCCATAAAATTTCTAAAAAAGGCATTGAGGTAGACAAGGCCAAGATCGAGGTGATCGAGAAGCTACCCTCACCAACTTCTATCAAGGGCATTCAGAGTTTCCTTGGACATGCTGGATTTTATAGACAATTCATCAAGGACTTCTCCATAATATCCAAGCCCTTGTGCACCCTGCTGCAACAGAACCAACCATTTGTGTTCGATCAGAAATGCCATGGCGCATTCGATGAGCTGAAAAAGAGACTTATCTCTGCACCGATCATAGTTCCCCCTGAATGGACGACACCTTTCGAATTAATGTGTGATGCAAGTGATTTTGCCATGGGAGCTTTGCTTGGGCAGCGTAGAGGTAAAATCTTTCATGTTATATATTATGCTAGTCGTACCTTGAATGAGGCACAATTAAACTACACTACCACTGAGAAAGAATTACTTGTCGTGGTATTTGCATTTGACAAATTTAGGCCATACTTGATAGGCACCAAAGTCATAGTTCACACTGACCATTCTGCTATAAAATACTTAGTGAACAAGAAAGATGCCAAGCCTAGACTTATTAGGTGGATATTACTATTGCAAGAGTTTGACTTAGAGGTCATTGATAGGAAAGGTACTGAAAACCAAGTTGCAGACCATTTATCAAGGCTAGAGAACATTTCAGAATGCCATGGCATTTTTGATGTTAAAGAAGAATCCCCTGATGAGAAAATTTTATATGCCACGGCAATTCCGTGGTACGCTGACCTTGTTAATTTTCTTGTTAGTGGTGTTTTTCCTTATGAACTGAACAGCCAGGGCAAAAAGAGGTTTTTTCATGATGCCAAGTTCTATTTTTGGTATGAGACGTACTTGTTCAAGCAATGTGCCGATCAAATGATTCGATGGTGTGTCCCTGAAGAAGAGCAACGCGATATCTTACACCATTGCCACACAATACCCTGTGGAGGGCATTTTGGAGGTGCGAGGACTGCTGCAAAGGTCCTCCAATCAAGCTTTTATTGGCCATCATTATTTAAGGATCCCCACGACTTTTGCAAAGCGTGCAATAGATGCCAGCGCACTGGAAACATTTCCAGACGACATGAAATGCCGCTGCAAAATATTTTAGAAATTGAGCTATTCGACGTTTGGGGAAATGATTTCATGGGACATTCCCATCTTCATTTGGAGATTTATACATCTTGCTCGCAAGGACTATGTGTCTAAGTGGATTGAAGCAATTGTCACACCGAGGAATGACTCAAAGACAGTGCTCAAGTTTCTTCACAAAAACATCTTCACTCGATTTGGAGTACCAAGGGCCATTATCCGTGATGAGGGAACCCACTTTGATAACAAGCTAATTGCCAAGGCATTGCAGAAATATGGAGTGTGACATAAGATTGCCACGACATATCACCCTCAAACAAATGGGCAAGCTGAAGTGTCTAACCGAGAAGTCAAGCAAATCATTGAGAAGGTGGTGAACCCTCGAAGGAAAGACTGGTCCCCAAAACTCGATGAAGCACTCTGAGCCTACAGGACGACATTGAAAACACCTCTGGGAATGTCTCCCTTCAAGATGGTATATGGAAAAGCCTGCCACCTCCCATTTGAGTTAGAGCACGAGGCATACTGGGCAATCAAGAAACTAAACTTCGGCGCGCAACTTGCTGGGGAAAAATGACTGCTCGATCTAAATGAAATAGAGGAGTTTCGAGAACAAGCATATGAAAATGCCAAGCTCTATAAAGAGAAGACAAAAAAGTGGCACGACAAAATGCTTTTGCCACGGCATTTTCATGAGGACCAGAAAGTACTGTTGTTTAACTCTAGGCTCAAACTCTTCCCAGGAAAATTAAAGTCACAGTGGTCGGGACCATTTGAAGTCCACCATGTTTACCCGTACGATACTGTTGATATTAAGAACATAGACGATGAGTCCATCTTTAAAGTCAATGGCTAGCGCCTAAAAGCTTACCAAGGAGTCCCACCATTGCATGACAAGTCTGCGATTCTCTTGCATGACATCGATATTGGTCCAGCATCTTAAGGATGCCATGACATTTTAAATTTACTCATGTGTATAAATAATTTTTACTTTGTCATTATTTTAGTCTTTCTTATTTTTAATTAATTGCTTTTATTTTATTTTTGTTGCAAGGGATATTCCACATGGCTAACACGTGAGGTGTATGGTGAAAGCTTGTGAAAATTTGGGCGGCAAACTTGAATAGTAAAAGGAGGGAAACTTTTTCACTTTTCACTCTTACTTCGGGTTAAAATTTTTACTCTTTCTTTTTGTTTTGTTCCCGCCTAGACCCCACCATTTCACTTTTTATCCCCCACAAAATCTCTATTTTGTTCTTATCTTCTTATTTTGATTCACTTTAACTTTTTCTTCTTTATCTTTCATCTTCTTCTTTCCTCCTTTGCCGAAACCACCATAACCGCCAAAAAACTCCAAGCTTTTTCAACTTTTCTTTGTTTTCTCTTTGAACAATGGTCCAATCACGACCCTCTTCTTCTGTACCACCACATTTTGTGGACGATGCTGCCAAAGATCGGTTCCAAACCATTAAAAACCGACGAGTCTTTTTTGAGTTGGGATTTATCTTCTCTGAGGAGGAGGATGCCACCTTTAGAAGTGAAGTGCTCGATGTAGTTAACAAGAACAAGTGGCATAAATTTGTCAAGCATCCGGCCACTGTCAATGCATTGATCGTGAAGGAGTTTTACTCAAACATCTTCGAGCTAAACCAGCATGCCGTCGTAGTTCGCGACATTTCTATTCGATTCACTCCTACTTCTATTAATCGCTACTTCAAATTGCAGGTTCTGAAAGACCTCCATACTACTTTCGCGCAAGATGCAGACAACGAAACATACCAAGGCATTTTGGAAGACCTCTGTCTTCCTGACACCCAATGGAACGGCCAGCAACTGAGTCGCAAGACCGTGGACCGAGAGAAGCTGCTCCCGCAAGTGAAGTTGTGGAACCATTTTATGAAGCACAAGATGCTGCCCACTTCCCACAACACCACCGTATCTTGCCAGCGGATGCTTTTACTGCACTCCATCATATTTGGGCGCCCCATTGATGTAGGAAAAATCATTGTAGATCAAGCCCATTTATGCCTGAAGCAATCTGCATGTTCCCTGTTATTTCCTAATCTCATCACTGCTTTATGCCATAAAAAGAAAGTTTCTGAGGAGCAGTTCGACGAGATTTTACCGGGTATTGCTGGAATTACCATGGCAAAAATCCCTATGTTGTTGGGGCTGAAGGACGCAAAAGGAAAAGAAAAGGAGGCGACCACATCTCATGTTTCACCATCTCCACATGCCGGGCTGTAACATCCTCAATATCGGGTTAGTGACTAAATTGTAAAATTTCAGAATTTGGTGATAAAAGTAGAATATTTGAATAGTTCAATAATTTATGTGGAGATATTTCCTGAAAGTTGTTAGTAAATATTAAAGGAGTTAAAGGGCAAATGAGTAATTGAACAAGGAAAATAATTAAATAATAATTAATGGGTATTATAATACCCATGTGGAGAATGATTGAAGAGATAAGTTTCCAAGCAATTCTCTTCTTCATCTTCTTCTCTTCTCCACGTGAAAGCTCAAGTAAAAGGTAAGTTTCCTCATTAGTTGATTATTTGTTCAATTAAAGGTTGGGTTTTGATCCTTAGATGATAATTAAGCTTAAGGAAAGCTTAATTTGTCTTAAAATTGAGAGATAAAGGAGTTATGAAATATTAAAGAAAATGGGTTTTTAAATGAATTTTCAAAAAAAAAAGAGTTGATAAGTTGAATTTGAAACTGAATTTGACTTGTCATAGGTGTGAATAATAAGTTATAAGTGTTAGAAATAAGTTTGGATTACATGGAAATTTTGGCATGATTCTTAGTTTTAAGAATTTGAAATAGATATGAGAAATTCTAAAGTGTTGGAATGATAAAAGTTAGTTAAAATGGTTGTAGTTGAGTTTAATGGTATGAAAGGAGTTTATATGAGGAAATTTAATGAAAAGTTGTGGAATTTTTGGGTGAAAATAAACTATTATGGATAGGTGCATCGATGCACTATGAATGGGCACCGATGCACTAAGACAATTTTGAAGGTGCATCGATGCATTAAGGGGGTGCATCGATACACTCATAAAGGAAAAGTGAATTTTGGTTCATTAAATTAGGCTAAATTAGTAATATCAAGTTATAAGGTTTAGGCTTCTGAAAATCGTCTCGAAATTATGTTTATGTAGATGTTGAGCCTAAACAAGTTCCGAAACAATCAAAGAATTAGGATCGAATCAAAGCAAGTCTAAGGTGAGTGTAATTTAAATTGTGGAAGTTGATGCCTAAAACTAGTGGATCGAGTCATCACCTTGCCCATGTTCCTTTGAAGGATTCTCCCTTAAGTGATTGTGGTGGACTGTGTGGTGACTTAGATATTCAGATACAACTTGAAGAAAAGGTAATTGTTTGGTACAGTTCCCATGTAATCTTGCATTAAGTCAAGGCTTATTCTGTAATATTTGCTGCAGGGTGTATTTTCAGATTTATTTGTTGTAAAAGGCATTCATACCGGCCATGAGAATGTTTCAGTACAGTTGCTTGAGCCACCGTTAGAGGTCATGGATGATACGATTGTTCTAACTGTTGCAGAAGCTATTTCACTATATCCACCATCACCTGTTTTTGTTCTTACTAATGCTACTCTTCGTTATGGTCTTAAGGTTATCCGTGGGAATGTCCCTCAAGGTAACACGTTCTAGTGATTGAATTGATGGGTATTTCTTTATACTATCAAGCTTATTTGGAGGAAACTGGCTATTTTTGTTGCATTGATTGATACTCCTGGGAAAAGTCTTAAGTATCTTTCAACTGGTATTTGCAGAGATAACTCTTCCATCACCACATCATCGATGGTCTGTATCAAACAGTTTAGTTGCCCGAGTGGACTCTACAATGGGTTTCATTCACGCCTTAACATTGGGTGAAACGACTGTCATTGTTGAAGATACTAGAGTTGATGGCCATAGTCAAATGTCATCTCTTAAGGTGGTCTTTCCAGATACCTTATCTTTGTACATTTCACTGTTGTCTAGTGGAGATCCAGTAGAAGGAATGGAACCAGTTCTGCCCATGGCACGTTGGTATTTGTCTCTGGAAAACGATACCTCATTCAACTCAAGGTTTTTTCTCGGGGTCCTTATGCACAGGAAATCTACATTACAGAGGTAACTTATGGGTTATTTATTTTCCCTGTGTAGCAGTGAAATAAATGAGTTATGTTAACACTGAACATTTTGGCCTAGCACTAAATGATTAGGTTCTCAAATGTTTCTTGACGATACTTGAAGGGTCAATCATTTTTTTGGGTTAAAGATTTGTTAGCTCATTAGTGTAATTTCATAAATTTCTCATTATTTTCCTTGTTATTTTCAAATCAGACTTCCTTTCCTTCATTGCAGAATGATGATATTGAGTTTTATGACAACCAATCTGGCTACTGGAAAATTGTCCCAGTGTTAGAGCCTATTGCATCCAGATACAGCAGGATAAGTGCTAGAATTTTGGAAGCAACTTCAGAGGGATTGGGGAAATTGACAGCCTCTTTAGTTTACTATAATGGACATCATGATACTAAAGAGGTGAAATGTCATTTACTTTCCCCTTTCTCTTTTCTTCTTATTCTTTTGAGAAACAAGATTATAGAAAGCATCATTTTTTTCTGATTTATTGTTCGACATTGATTACATTTTTCTCTCTTGCCTTGTCGTTTAGGTTCTCAAGGTTGTGCAAGAGGTTATTGTTTGCGATCAAGTAAAGTTTAGCTTGGAGAAAGTAAGTGGTGAATCTCAAATTGTGCTCCTTCCTTGGGCACCTGCGGTACATCAGGAGATGGAGCTAAAGGCTGCTGGAGGTTGGTAGCATTTTACTTGTCCATTTCCAAAATTTAGTTTTACAAGTTCTGACACCTTTTAATGGGCTTCAATGCTATCATAGGTTGTGCAAAAGCCTCAAGTGACTATAAATGGTTTTCGTCGGACATTACTGTTGTTTCAGTGACTGCATATGGATCCTAGTGAAGGTGATGTCAAGTTTTGATTCATTAAATTTTGACGAGGTAACAAATTTGTTCCTTCTACAGCTTTCTTTGTTCTTATGGTTAGAAAAGATCCTAGTGTAGCATAGAATTTGTAAAGGTCCTATGGTGGATCTGGTTTTGTTGCTGCTCTAAATTCTGAATACGAACTTATTTGTCTTTTTACCCTATAAAAGCTTCCAGTTTCACATGGTCCATTATTTTTTGAAGCTACTTTCTGCAATGTTTCTGACAGGTCGTGGTTGAAGTTTCCACTCCATCCTATATGGTTATGTTACAAAACTTCCCTGTTGAGACTGTTGTGGGATCACATATCCCAGCTGCTGTTACAATGGAAACTTCAAACGGTTATATCACATTCCAGAATCATTAGGAAACTTCTTTTCTTCCCTGCAAACATTCCTGTTAAAGTTGACTTGCCATTTGCAGGTGCCTACATTTCTAGATGTGATGCATTTCATTCCTTTATAAAGTGGAAAGTTGGAAGCGAGTCTTTCATTGTTACCAATGGAACAGGGGAGGCACCAGTCCTTGAAAAGGACAATTTGGAGCTTCATGTTCCAGTGGATGGTCCTCCATGTTCATGGACATACACATATATGCTTCTGCATCTGCTCAAGCAATGCTGCACGCAACATTTTCAAAGGAATACAATCATTTTGATCCCTCTTTTAGTGGACCTATTGTTCTACGAGCAGCTTCCAGAATTGCATCATACAGACCACTTACTCTGCATCAGATAGGTGATGGGAACCAGTTTGGTGGTTATTGGGTTAATACAGCTGGTGCTGAAGCTGGTAATCAACTAGAAGATCTGGATAAGGTATATCTTGTGCCTGGAACTCAGTTAGATGTTATGCTTTATGGAGGACCAGAAAGGTGGGACGAAGGTGTTGACTTCGTGGAAACAGCGGAGATTTTTGATGAAAAATGGGCACATGATAACGGGGTTCTTGTGCATCAGATTTATAGCAGCCATGGCAGTTTGTATAGACTTTTATGCCAAACACTGGGGACTTTTGTAAGCTCCTGTGCTATTTCCTAGACAACCCTATACGAGTTGCAATTCAAGTCTATATTCTTGCTATTTATTTCTTACCGATATGGTCTATTTAGTCCTGAATCATGATATATTTGCTTTCTATGGTTCCTAACTGTTCAGAAACTTGTTTTTAAACGTGGAAACTTGGTTGGAGATTATCATCCTCTTCCCACATTAGTAGAAGCGGCACTGTCTCTTGTTTGCAGCCTTCCTTCCTCTATTGTGGTAATAGTGGATGAACCTGGTAAATGTTATTATTATTTGTATTGGACTGATGTGAAATATGACCTTTGATTCCGCTACTCCCCTTTTTTACACCTGTCAACTAGTTGTGTGGTTTTGGTTGATGTGACAGTTAATGATCGAGATGTTATTCGGACTACAATTCAAGTTGATCGTAGCCCAGGGAAAATTCAAGTCACACCTGTTACTGTGGCAAATGGGCAAACTATTAGAGTGGCCGCTGTCAGCATTAGTACCAATGGAGAGCCTTTTGCAAACTCTTCTTCCCTGTGCTTAAAGTGGGAGCTAGGCAATTGTGACAGTCTGGCTTATTGGAACCATGCATATGATTCTGAGAACCATAAATAGTCTAGTTGGGAGAGGTTTCTTGTGCTGCGAAACGAATCAGGATCGGTACTGCCGGACAATGATTTGTTAGTTTCTAGTTTTTTAATTATTTTTAGCAACATCTTTGCCATGAAATGACAGTAGAAAAGCTATGAAACTATTATTTCCAAGGGAAGGGGTGAGAGGTCTTTGCCAAAATGGGAGGGGGAGATTGAGCAAAGAGTTAGTTAACTAAAATACAGTGAGGGTAACTGTGATAATACTCATTAAACTAACAAGATACCACAGCTGAAAAAAGTATTAGTAGTATCTCCCTGCAGTAATATTTTGAAGTTGTTAAGCATGAAAAAATGCATATGGATTTAAGTTAGCTTCGAGTAGAAGCTGGCGATGTGGATAAATACTTTTTTTGCAGCATTTAAATATCTAGTATTGGCTTCAATTGATTAAGAATCAGGTTAGATGGGTTTTTCTTGTGTGTTAGGGCATAGAATAACTAGAGAAGTGGAAGACTGCCTAACTTCAGAGCTTGCATCTGTTTCTCATTCAGTTTTTTCCCATCCTATATGTTTTATCCTCAATCATGTAATAATTATGCACATTTGATTCATAATGAATGTTAGATCATGTCGCCAAAAAGAATAACGATTATCATGTAGGCTAGTTCCAACAAATGATTCACAAGAGAAAATTTGCCCAAAAATCAAAGAAAAAAAAGTCTCTAGAGTTTAATAAAATATTATAAAGTCAAAAAATTGTCCAAAAACTGTTATAGGCAAAAATCTTATTTATCGAAATTTTACCAAAAATAGAAAAATCCCGAAAATCACTCTAAATTGAAATTCAAAATAAAATAAGCAATCTGCAAAAAATCCGACCGAAATCGGATTTAAAATGACTTCCTAATTGACAATCGAAATATTATCATAAATAGTAAAAATATCTAAATCTAGTGATTCGGAGAGGAAAACGGCAGAATTTGAGGTCAAAAAAAGGCCACATGGAGCGTATCTCATGTGGACAGCGTGCGCGTCGAAAAGAGCTTTCTGGATTGGGGTCTTATGCGCGATTCTGACACTCGTAGCCAAAGTTATGGCCAAAATACTGAAGCACACTTAAAACGGCCCCAATGAGGAACATATCACAATCAATTCCCGCCTTTACGCTGATCTGCCAACTCATGGTATCTCAGCGCCATCAAGGTGCAATCTGACAGCTCATCATCATCTGTCTCTGATACATCTGTATCAGATCAACATCCCTGAACAACAGTTTTACCCGTTCTAAGTGGAGGTTGTACAAGTTTTACAATTTTGGATTATTCCTACCCAAGCATCTAGTCTACTAATTGTTTTATTTGTAATATATCAATAGAAATTGTTTACCACTGAATACTTATATGTTATATCTTTGCTATTTTAGAACTTTTATACTATTTTGGACTTCTATATGTTTTTATTCCTTCCTTAACTATTCAGTACATAATGCAACTTTTTTTCTTCCTCATGATGTGTTATGTTGGGATAAATGAAATTTCAATTGCTTTTGTCTCAGTGTATTGTCCGTGCCACTGTTACTGGATTTATTGGTAGTTCCACAGTCCATCATTATTCTTCTGAATTTTCAGAAGATTTAGAGAATTTTCTTACAGATGCTGTATAAATACAGGTAGGCTGTGAATAATCTACTCAAATGACATAAATTTCGTTAAATACCTTTGTCTGCCATTTTTCTACTGTGAACGATATACTGAAACAAGCTTTGTTTGCCCTCTATGGTTCTTCCTTTCTTTTGAAAAAAATATTGCTTTGTTTATTTTTTTTTGGGTTGGGGGGATAGGAGGGGTTAAGGGTTGACATGTTATAAAAAATTATTCTAATATTATTCTGTGTTAATCTTTGCAGCTTGTTTCTACTCTAAGAGTGACTCCAGACTCCAGAGTTCAATTTGTTATATTTCAATCCTGATGCCAAGGGAGAAATCCAGCACCATCACTCTATTCATTTGGTGATTTCAATTGAATATGCATTACTATTTTGAAACCAGTTCAATGAAGTTGTGTGGTATGCATTTCTTTTGAAGCTGATTTGATTATTCTCTTTATGATATGCATTACTGGAGAGATATTTGATGCACTTTTGATGAATGAAGAATACCGATAACATGCAAAGAAATTGATGTTTTTGCTTTGAATAAACTTGTTAGCTTTATACTTTTAGATCTGTAACCAAATGGTGACTGTGGCTATCTTGGTTTCCCATTTTCTGGCCATTACATTTTTGTAAATCTAATTATTTGCTTGCAATGATCTGTTTATTTGTTCTACTTGCTAGTTGCCACATGTAATGAATAGCTTGGATTGGAGTGATACCATGCTCCCCTTACTAGTTGCTAGATTTGACATTTAAGAAATAATGTCTTGGGCAGTGCTTGCTCTTAAGGCCTTCAATAAGGAATTAAAAGAATGGATAGCTGAACTGGCAATAATTTTTGTACTAAACAACTTTCATCTTTGCATGTCTTTTTCATAACGAAAAAAATGAATGGTAAAACATGGGGGAATTATTGTAATATTATTGCTAATTTTACAATTCCATCCATCCCGGGTCACAGTATATCAGCCTTTTTTTTTTTTACCATACTAATCAGTCGAAAAATCTACCTTGCTACTAAACATTTATGTAATTGTCATGAATCTCATTCTATGGCTTTTAGGATGTGGTGTCTTGTTCAAGCTCGTCATTATTTGTTGATTTTACATTTTCTTTTTAGTTGAATAGAAGGGAAAATTAGATTTTAGAGTAAGGTATTATAACTGTATTTAGGGACTGATGTTTAATGGTACCTAATGCGTAGAAGCTTTTGAGCAGCACATCATACATCTTTCTGAGCCTAATTTATTTGCAAACTAAGACTGTTGGTTTAATTTTGTTTTCCAGCATAAGTACTCCCAGATTATTCTTTCTTCTGGGAATTCTGGTCATTTAACAATTTTCATACAATATACTTAATCATTGTATCCATTAGGCAAATTTGTCAATTACTGGAGGGAGTTGTTTCTTTTTTTGATAAGAATTTCAGGCCTCGTTAAAAACCCCCTTCTTGATTAATGGAGCTTATATGAACTCCTTAATCAGCATAAGGAGGAAAAAAGTGCCTTAGGATTTTATTGAACCATAAAATTACATAAGATACAACCATCATACACCCAACCAACCAAAAAAACTCAAAACAACCATAAAACATCCAAAATATAAATATAGAATTAGCCAATTCCTTCTTTAGCTAAGGCATCAGCCTCTAAATTGGTTGTCCTATTAACCCATCTGACAACATCTTCTAAAACATTAAGCGTATGAACAATATCTTTAATCAAAAAGCATAAACATCAGGAACTAGATCCACTTTCTTAATCCAGTCTACCGTAACTTTGCTGTCGCTTTCAATAATTAGACGTCCATTCCACTCTCGTAAATTCGCATAGAACATTAGACCATTCTGAATAGCTTTTAATTCCATAAAAGTTGGAGGGCCCGGGCCAGCAGTTTCCTTGAAAGAACTTAAAGTCAAACCCGAGGAGTCCTTTAGAACACCTCGTAACCCACTCTTCTTCCAATCTCTAGTAGTAGCCGCATCAACATTTAACTTTACAAAGCCTTGAGGAGGAGGAGACCAAGGAAATTTAGTTACAAGCTGATTAGGATAAAGAGAGCACAAATCCCCTAATGAAGGGTCTGAAATAAGAGAGTCCTTAGGAATAGACACCTCATTGACTTAGCAAGGAACCAAGAAGCTAGTCTAAACCTTGCTAGGAAAAAATACTCAGCCAAATCCAACTTTCCCTCTTCAAACACAATAAGATTCCTAACTTTCCAAGTAGTCCAAATAACTGCCCCAGGAATAAAAGACCAAATTGTAGAGGTAAACTTCAAATCAGCCCAAGCAAGTAGGAAGTTTTTCGCATTTACATGCAAAACAGACTTAATCTTTCAGAAATTCAGAAATTTGTTCCAAATCGTCCACACCACCGAACACGTGAAAAACAAGTGCGAGGAAGACTCCACCTCCCTTTTACAAAGAGGGCACATAATGTCTACAATTCCTTGTATTCCCCTTTTAACAAGTTCTGTCCTAACAGCCAGCTTCCCTAACACCACCTGCCACATAAAGGACTCCACTCTAGGTGAAATCTGGCCCCTCTAAATAATCTTCTTCCAGAAATATACCTCTTCCGAATCCGAAATAATGGCTGAACAAATCTTAGTTCCAGATTTAACAGTGTAAACCCCATCTCTAGTACCTTTCCAAATCACCCCATCACATAACTTCGTAGATAAAGAAACAGAGGAAATAGAATTCATCAAGTTAACCCATTGTTCTACTTCCCAGTCGTTAAAATTTCTTCTAAACTGCACATCCCAACTCCAACCCGATGAGATGTAATTCCCAAATTCAACCAGATTACCCATTTTGTTTGTGAAAATGGAAAACAAACGAGGGAAAATAATAAGAAGAGGATAGTCCAAAACCCAATTATCCTGCCAAAACCTAATCAATCTGCCATCCCCAACTCAGAAAGAATACAAACTTCTAAACAGTAAATGAAAATACATTTTATTTACTTGAAATAACTTTTAGGATCTCTTGGCAAATTTGAAGGAAATGAAAATTGAAAGAAATCCCTTTCTGGGGATGTTGATGCTGTTCAGTGTTCACATTTGAAAAATTATTTAAAAGCAACTTGCTAGAAAACATTTTTCAGTTTATAAAATTTTTGTGTTTTACGTGTGTTGAGACCTGCAAATTCAGTTACAAATGAATCCTTGTTTTAGTTAGAGAAACATGTGGAACTATGTTTTTTTAATCTTGGAATGTCCATGTAAAGGAATCACTTTGACCAAATTAATGTTCTCTTTCATTTCTTTGCAATGAAATGCTGAGTTAATTTGAAATTACAACATGTTATTTTTTTGAAAGCTCTGATTTCTTTCTTTCTCTACAAATGATACCTTCATGTTTGATATCTCATTACTCGTAATTTATTACTCTGATGACATTTTAACAGGTCCAAGTTTCGGATATAGACTGGATTGAGATTATTTTAGGAGAAGAGATAAACCTTACGGTGGGTTTTTTCACTTTTCCATATAAATTGATACTTTTCCTTCACTTCCAAACTGGGTTTACTCTTACTGACTGGTAATTTTTTATCTGAAGGAAGGAAGTTCAAAGTCAATTGGTTTGATGGCTGGGGTTTATGATGGAAGCACTTTTGACATTCCTCAGGTTTGCAATGATTTCCATTTATCATTCTCTTGGAGCTATGTATACATGATATTCTTTTGTGGATACATGTTTTAGACTAAATAATTTGGGAAGTATACTAGGTATTTCTCCAAGATAAGTATAACTGAATATTGGGCACATGTGCCTTATGCATATCTTTGTCCTCCCATGTGAGGGATCCTTTTGTATAACCTAATTATTCTCTAAACAAGATCTATACAAACTATTTTGACAATGTATCTCATGATATACCGTGTTCTTTAAAAATAAACCTTCATGCATGTCAGTTTACCCCCTTTTCTAAAAGTTTCTGATGTGTCTATTGTTGGTTTTTGGCAAATATCCCACATTGGTTTTGTATAAGGAGGAGGGGAAATTCTTTTGTTATAAATAGAGCCATCCTCCTCCTTAGTTTAGCATCCCACAAATATAAGTCTTCTTTTATATTAAAGGCTATTCGTATTCTTTTTTTTCTCTTTGTAATATTTCCTCTACTAGTGAAATATTATTTTAGTAGTGTTCGAGGAGGTAGGCATAATTTTTGGCCTAACCTCGTTAAATATTGGTGTTCTCTTTATGCCTATTTAATAGCTATTGTTGGGTATAGTTGTTGTTAATTATTGTCCTATTAAAATTACTTGTCTTGGTTGTTCTGTCTAAGGAAAATGGGTTTTAAGAGGGACCATTGTGACCCCTCCTCTTTCCTGGGAATCTACCTTGGTGTGATTTTTAGTACAATCGTTTTCATACTAGTCACCTAGATAATAGTTTTCAAGGTGAATTTGTTATTATTGGTGGAAATTAACCCGAATTCCACAACAATTGGTATCAGATCTCTTGGTTTATTTTAGTATGCTCTGTGGTTGCGGCTTAGGCTGATCTTCCACATCAGAAAAAAAATTCCTTGGGACAATTGGCATTCCGCATTGACAGCTATTAAATAGAATTTGTAGCAGAAATGGCAGACGTAACAAAAACATCCACATCGTCGTCAACAGCTGTGACAAATGTTAGATTTGCAGTGGAGATTTTTGATGGCACCGGTCATTTCGGCATGTGGCAAAGTGAGGTTCTAGATGCCCTATTTCAGCAAGGTCTATACATTGCTATTGAAGGAGAGAAACCAGATGATGTTGAGGAGAAAGAATGAAAGATGATCAATAGATTGGCATGTGGTACTATTAGATCGTATCTTTCTAGAGAGTAGAAGTATGCATTTTCTAAGGAAACTTCTGCAAGTAAATTGTGGAAGGCACTGGAGGAGAAATTTTTGAAGAAAAGTGGTCAGAACAAGCTCTACATGAAAAAGAGATTGTTCCGCTTCAACTATGTACCAGGTACCACTATGAATGATCACATTACTAGCTTTAATCAGCTGGTGACTGATCTGATGAATATGGATGTGACTTTTGAAGACGAAGATCTGGCTCTGATGTTGATAGGATCACTTCCTGATGAGTTTGAGTATCTTGAAACTACTCTACTTCATGGGAAAGTTGTTGTGTCTCTCACTGAAGTAATTGATGCCTTGTATAGTTATGAATTGAGAAAGGAAGACAAACAAGAAAACCCAAGTGTCGAAGCAGAAGCTCTTGTTGTTAGAGGTCGTTCGAAGAGTCAGAATAAAGGAAGGAGAGGGAGATCGAAGTCAAAGTCCAGATTGAGCAAAGATGAATGTGCCTTTTATCGAGAAAAAGGGCACTGGAAGAAAGAATGTCCCAAGCTAAAGAACAAAGGCAAACCTGAAAGGGGAAAGGTTGTCTCTGAATCAAATGTGGTCGAGTATGATGATGCAGATTCAGATTTCACATTCGCTGCTACGCTATCAACCAGTTGTTCTAGTGGAGAAGGTTTGGTGTATATTGTCTAATACTGGGTTAGACAAAGAATTTTGGGCTGAGGCTTTGGTCTATGCTTGTCACCTTGTCAACCGCTTACCATCGACTGCTATTGGTGGTAAAGCACCTTTAGAAAAATGGTTTGGAGTATCTGCTACAGATTATGATTCCTTACATGTGTTTGGTTCCACTGCATACTATCATGTTAAGGAGTCAAAGCTGGATTAAAGAGCAAAGAAGGCGATCTTTATGGGGATCACCTCTGGTGTGAAAGGCTATCATCTTTGGTGTCCAGAAACAAAGAAAATAATCTTTAGCAGGGATGTTACCTTTGATGAATCTACCATGTTGAGAAAGGTGACTTCAGAAAAATTGAAGCAGACAGGTTGAACTCCCAAACAGGTGGAGTTTAAAGGAAGCAGAATTGACCCAACCAGTAAAGAAACTGATGTTGACTCTCCTATGGTAGAAGAAGAGTCAGATGAAGAAGAGGTTCAGACCCAACCTCCACAGCAACATGAATCAATTGCACTAAGAAAGGGAAAGAGGACCATTAGACAACCTACTCGTTATGCTGATATGGTCTCTTTTGCATCACCAATTGCAATTGATGACGTTCCTGCCACTTTTAATGAAGCAGTACAAAGTTCAGAACATAAAAAGTGGAGGATCGCCATGAATGAAGAAATACAATCCCTTCAAAAGAATCAGACATGGAAACTAGCTAGTATTCCGAAGGGAAAGAAGGCAATTGGGTGCAAGTGGGTATATGCAAAGAAAGATGGATTTCCTGACAAGAATAACATCCGCTACAAAGCAAGATTGGTGGCTAAAGACTACGCTCAAACGGAGGGAGTTGATTATAATGAAGTATTTTCTCCAGTTGTAAAACATTCCTCCATCAGAATTTTGTTGGCTTTGGTAGCACAGTTGGATTTGGAATTAGTTCAGATGGATGTAAAAACTACATTTTTACATGGAGACTTGGATGAGGAAATCTACATGACTCAGCCAGATGGATTAAAAGTTGCTGAAAAAGAAGAGATGGTGTGCAAATTAGAAAAATCTCTATACGGATTGAAGCAATCTCCAAGGCAGTGGTACAAGCGATTTGACAAGTTTATGATAGGGCAGAAGTACACAAGAAGCAAATATGATCATTGTGTGTATTTACGCAAACTACAAAATGGATCCTATATATATCTTCTTCTTTATGTTGATGATATGTTGATAGCTTCCAGGAGTCAAACAGAAATTGCAAAACTAAAGACTCAATTGAACAGGGAGTTTGAGATGAAGGATCTTGGTGAAGCAAAGAATATTCTAGGCATGGAGATATCAAGGGATAAGAAATTGGGGAGGCTTTGTTTGTCTCAGAAAGAATATCTGAGGAAGGTACTAAAATATTTTGGAATGAATAAGAAGTCAAAACCAGTTAGTACACCTCTTGCTCCTCATTTCAAGCTCGGTGTATCCATGTCACCTAAGGATGATGCAGAACGGGAATACATGTCAAAGGTTTCGTATGTAAGTGTTGTTGGTAGCTTAATGTATGCAATGGTGTATACGAAACCCGATATTTCACAGGCAGTTGGGGTTGTGAGCAGGTATATGCATGATCCTGGAAAGGAGCATTGGGAAGCTGTGAAATGGATTCTGCGGTATATTCTGAACACCGTAGATGTTGGTTTGGTCTTTCAGCAGGACAAACAAGATGGTCAGTGTGTAGTTAGGTATTATGATTCAGACTATGCAGGTGATTTGGACAAGCGTCGATCAACTACTGGTTATGTGTTTACATTTACAAAAGCACCAGTCAGTTGGAAGTCCACCTTATAGTTAACAGTGGCTTTGTCTACTACAGAGGCAGAGTATATGGCAGTTACAGAGGCTATGAAGGAGGCAATTTGGCTTCAAGGGTTGTTTGGTGAATTGGGAATGGAACAAAAGCACATCAAAGTGCACTGTGACAGTCAGAGTACTATTCATTTAGCAAAAGAACCAAGTTTACCATGTAAGGACGAAGCACATCGATGTTCGATATCACTTTGTATGAGAGATTCTAGAAGAAGGTGGAGTCATAATCCAGAAGATTCGGACCACTGAGAATCCTGCTGATATGTTGGAAAAAGTGGTAACTGTGGTCAAGTTTAAACATTGTTTAGACTTGGTCAATATTGTTACAAATTGAAAGATGAATTTGCAGACACTACTGAAGATTGGATTTTTTTAGAGACGTGTGTGGAATTTGCCAATGTGGAGATTTGTTGGTTTTTGGCAAATATCCCACATTGGTTTTGTATAAGGAGGAGGGGAAATTCTTTTGTTATAAATAGAGCCATCCTCCTCCTTAGTTTAGCATCCCATAAATATAAGTCTTCTTCTATATTAAAGGCTATTTGTATTCTTTCTTTCTAATATTTCCTCTACTAGTGAAATATTATTTTAGTAGTGTTCGAGGAGGTAGGCATAATTTTTGGCCTAACCTCGTTAAATATTGGTGTTCTCTTTATGTCTATTTAATAGCTATTGTCGGGTATAGTTGTTGTTAATTATTGTCCTATTAAAATTACTTGTCTTGGTAGTTCTGTCTAAGGAAAGTGGGTTTTAAGAGGGACCATTGTGACCATTGTGACCCCTCCTCTTTCCTGGGAATCTACCTTGGTATCATTTTTAGTACAATCATTTTCACACTAGTCACCTAGATAATAGTTTTCAAGGTGAATTTATTATTATTGGTGGAAATTAACCCGAATTCCACAACATCTATTCCCCTACATCCATGTATAAGCCATGTCTTCATATTCTTTCTATTACCTTGATGGGTTCCTTTCTGTGCAGTTTGCTTACATGAATATCCACGTGCATATTGAGGATGATATAGTGGAACTTGTGGACAAGGATGATTTCTCAGTCCCTAATGGTGGATATGTTAGAATGCAGAATTTCAAAATCAGGGCATAACATCTTGGCATCACAACACTTTACGTAAGTTATTTATCCTCTTGAAGATCTCTCTTACGTTATCATTTCCTTGGGAATTGTTGTAATCACTCAATCCAGAGTTTGTTTGCATTAATTTGAAGATAGATATTAATAGCAGGTCAGTGCTAGACGCCATTTTGGACATGAAATATCAAGTCAGGCTATCAAGGTTGAAGTTTATGCTCCACTAACAATTCACCCACCAAATATTTTCCTTGTACCAGGTCCCTCTTACTTGGTATGACTCTGTATTCCTTTACTTTCTAAATATATATACACATCATGTTATTATGTGAACAGTGTGAACAGTCCTTGTTTCATATTGAACTTCATATCTTCTTCCCTTTTACTTCTCTTTGCAACCCCTTTTCCTACTTTTATTTGGAAATTGAATTCTTTTTTCTTATTTCTAATTATATCACATGCATTGATCATTCTTTTAGCTGACTATAAAAGGAGGTCCGACCCTTGGTGCCTTTGTGGAATACACAAGTACAGATGATGTTGTGTTTTAAAAGGCGCAAGGCGCTCTAAGGCGATTAGCTACCCGAGAGCCTCAATTTTTGAGGCGCTTTGAGGCAAAGGATTCATGTACGCGAGGCGCTTAATTTTACAAAACATTTGTAAATATTTTATAACCATACCTCAAACACAAAACAACTTAATAATTAACTTAATAAGCAAAAACACCAAGTAGCATATATCATATTGTATCTCAAAAAGACCTGTTGCAGTGTTGTTTTCTTTTTACAGAATAACTTTTAAATGTTCGCTCTCTTTAAGATGTTTTAGTTTGCTCGCAACCCATTGCTTGAGATTTGAGTCTAAGATCGATAATGCAAGAATGAAATTTGATGTCTAATGAACCTGTAAAGCTACCGTCAACAACAATTTATTACTCTTAGAATCATTTGCAAGTTCCACACCATGGTCTTACTGAAATTTGCTTAAAATCACCTAGAACATTAATTGAACCATCCTTAAGAAAGTTAAACTTAATCACGGGGCTTCTCGCCATCATCAATCTATTCGTACGGATAATTGACAACTTGACGACAAGCTAAACACACCCACTCCCACCTCTCGCGCATAATAATCAAGGATAAGTGGAGATAAAATGAGTAGTACAACTACATCTAAAACACTCTAGAACTAAAATTCAACTTATATTGATGAATGAATAATTCACTGAAACAATCAGAAAAGAAACGACCATTACTAATCAGTTATCCAATACCTAAATCTTTTGAAGATTAAAGATGATTGGAATAAAAAAAATAACAATAAAAAACATATCTGATCAAATTGGCAAATTAAAATAACTACTAAAATTTAATCAAATATAGAGACAGGTAAGGAAGTAATTAGAAAAAACCAAAAAATTCATAAAAAAAAGTGAGAAATGATATTTTATATGTAGACATTTTTGCGGAGATACCTTTTCCAGAGATCGCGTTGCGATTTGGCGGGGATGGAACGCTAGAGACGATCCATATCGGTGTATAGGGAGTGGATATGAGATATCTTTTTTAACGGAGAAAGAGAGTTCAGGTGAGTCGGCACCAGAGACGGAGCTCTCGAACCTCTCTAACCGTTCGATCCCGTCCATTGCTCGAAGAAGTATCCTTCTGGCACTCTGATAAACTTCTGATAATGTCCCTCATCCTTCGTTCCCCGCCATGCTTTGATTCCAAACAAAGCGTCATCTTGATTTTCACTTGTAAAAATGGTGATTGATTTGATTTTTGGTTTTGTTTTGTTATTATTTATTGAATTGCAGTTTCTGAATTTGTTTTGATAGTCCAAACAACGAAGAAAATATCCTTTTTGACTATCATTGTACGTGAATCGCTAAAAGCACCGCCTCGTCGCCTCTCGCTGCCTCCGACGACTGAATCGCCGCCTCATGTACTTTCCGCCGCCTTGGTGGTCGGAGGCTTTCTTCTAAACGCCTCACCTAGCACCTCAAGCGCGCTTTTTAAAACACAGAGATGATGCCACTGCAACAGTGGACAAAACTTCAGGGCGACTGACTACAATTTCACCTGGAAACACTGTAAGATATAAGATATGATAATTAAATAGTTGTTTTGTTTATCTACACAAATGCAAAATGGTTTATAACTTTTTAACTTACCTTAATGAAGGTTCATGTTAATGATGCTAGAGTTTGTTGAGCACTTAGTATTTTCAAGTTGTAAATAAACTAGACATGCCACTTGAACGAATTTGGTTTGTGATTTTTTTATAAGAAATGGAGACCTCATTAAAATACCCCTTCATGATTGTTAAGACACCATAAGGTGTACCAAAAATCAGCGGAATGAGGAAAAGAGTTTCTCAAATTTTATTTATAGAAGATTAATACAAAGTCGAAGATTACAACTAGAAAATTCAAACACAATAGATACAACCACAAACAAGGAAAAAAACTCCAATCCCATATCCTAGCTTAGCCAATTCCGGACTTTGCTAAAACATCTGCCTCTAAGTTAGTTGGCCTAGCAATACAGTGGATAATGCCTTCCAAGTTCCTAATCTTATCCACAATTTCTTTCAAAATTGAGGCATACAAGTTAGGGCATTTATCCAGATTCTTTATCCACTCCAAAAACATTTTACTATCACTCTCCACAATCAACCGTCCCTTAGAGCACCATTTAGAAGATTCAAAGAACAATAAACCATGTTTAATGGCCTTCAATTCCATAAAAGTAGGGGGACCCGGACCAACAACTTCTTGAAAAGAACCCAACACTGTGCCAGACTCATCTCTTAAAATCCCACCCAAACTACTAGCCTCCCAACTACTATTGACAGTAGCATCCACGTTCAGCTTAAGAAAAACCGCTTGGGGAGGGGACCATGACAATTGTTTAGTTCGAAGACTTCCTGAAACAGAACAAGAATCACTGAGCGTTGGGTCTCTGAGATCCCTTAAGATGGCATTGTTGGAGAATTTAGCTAAGAACCAATAAGCTAATTTGAACTTTGCTATAAAGAACAATTAAACCGGATCGAATACATTCTTCTAAAAAAACAATGGCATTCTTGTATTTCCATATCGTCCACAACACTACACCAGGAATAAAAGTCCAAATAGTAGAATTAGGCACCAATTCCTCCCAAGAATAAAGAAAACAATGAGCATTCTCGTGTAAGACAGTAGAAATTTTCCATAATTTCAAGAACCTACTCCACAAACCCCATGTAGCAGTGCAAGAGAAGAATAGGTGAGGGGAGGACTCCAGCTCTATTTTGCAGAAAGGACACAAGGGATCCAATATCCCCGATACACCTCTCTTTAATAATTCAGTCTTAACTACCAATTTTTTATGGACAACTTGCCACATGAAAGTTTATTCTCTTGGTGGCACCAACCCCTTCCAAAGGTAACCCTTCCAAAAATGGTCTACAATCTGATTAGTGGAGCACGTTTTCAAGCAAGAGTTAACTGTGTAAATGCCATCCCCATTCTCTCACCAAAATAGACTATCTCTCGAATTCTCCGATATGCTTATATTGTTGATTATTGCCATCAGTTCGACCCATTTATCAACCTCCCAGTCACTCAGTTTCCTCATCATCTTTACACACCAAACTCAGCCTGAATTTCCTAATTCACCAAACTCCCTTAAATTCCCATTTTGATTGGAAGAGAGTTGTGTTTTAAAAAGCGCTCCTGAGGCGCTTTGAGGCGCTAGGCGAGGCATTTAGAAGAAAGCCTCCGACCACGAAGGCATTGACGAGTACATGAGGCGACGATTCAAAAGTCAGAGGCGGCGAGAGGCGACGAGCCGATGCTTTTAGCGATTTACATACAATGATAGTCAAAAAGGATATTTTCTTCGTTGTTTGGACTGTCAAAACAAATTTAGAAACTGCAATTCAATAAATAATAACAAAACAAAACCAAAAATCAAATCAATCACCATTTCTACAAGTGAAAATCAAGACGACGCTTTGTTTGGAATCAAAGCATGGCGGCGAACGAAAGAGGAGGAACATTATCAGAAGTCTATCAGAGTACCAGAAGGATACTTCTTCGAGTAAGGGACGGGATCAAACGGTTGGAGAGTGTAACATCCCAAACTACGGGTTAGTGATCAAATTATAAAATTTCAAAATTTGAGGATAAAAGCAGAATAGTTGAATAGTTCAATAAATTATGTGGAGATATTTCCTGAAAGTTGTTAGTAAATATTAAAGGAGTGAAAGGGAAAATAAGTAATTGAACAAGAAAAATAATTAAATAATAATTAATGGATATTATAATACCCATGTGGAGAATGATTGAAGAGATAAGCTTCCAAGCAATTCTCTTCTTCATCTTCTTATCTTCTCCACGTGAAAGCTCAAGCAAAAGGTAAGTTTCCTCATTAGTTGATTATTTGTTAATTTAAAGGTTGGATTTTGATCCTTAGATGATAACTAAGCTTGAGTTATCTTAAAATCAAAAGATAAATGAGTTATGATAGATTAAAGAAAATGGGGTTTTAAGTGAAATTTTGAATAAGAAGGTTTAAATGAATTTGGTGGATAATTTGACTTGTCATCTATGAGAATAAGAAGTTAGAAGTGTTAGAATTAAGTTTGAATAACATGGAATTTTGGTATGATTATTGATTTCTATGGAGAAAGAATTTTGAAGTTTAAGATGAAATATATATATAAATGAGTTTAAGCATGCATATTTGAGTTAAGAATATGAAAGGGAATGAAACTTGAAGAATTGAAATTGAAAGAGTGATTTTTCATGCAATGAACAGTGATTTCTGGGTATGTGCATCGATGCAATAAGGGGTGTATCGATGCATGGATATTTCGAAGCTATTCTATGTACGTTCACCCATGCATCGATACACTCTTAAAGGAAAGCTTAAATTTGGTTTATTAAATTAGCCTGAGTTATTAACATAAAGTTATAAGGTTTAGGCTTCTGATAATCGTCTCGGAAATTATGCTTATGTAGAAATTGATCCTAAACAAGTTTCGGAATAATCAAAGAATTAGGATCAAATCAAAGCAAGGCTAAGGTGAGTGCAATTTAAATTGTACTTATGTGATTGATCAAACATTGACTTGCGAGCCAATGATAGAGTTACTGGTAAGAAGTAACTTATAAAATGTTATGTGATTACTATGTGTGTATTAGTACATAGAAATGGATGTATGTTATTATATGTTACATGATTTACATGCTTACGTGAAAATGCAACATATGATATATGTTACTTGATATGACATGCAAGGTTACATGAACAAATGAGAAATGATAAAAGCCATATGAAATGATCTATGTGAATACATGCATTTGTGATACGTGTTATATGGTATTAGATATATGCTTACACATGCATTGGTATGTGACAGAAGAGAAGGAACATGTGATTATGAGATCAATGATTACACGTACATGTGATACGTGACTGAAAAGAAAAGATATGTGTTTATAAGAGAAAGGATATGAATAAGTAATGTGAACTGTTATAAATGATAATGCCCATGTTATGTGATATGAGAGCTAGGGGTATAGTTGGCATGCCAAGGGTCGAGGGTTTACCTATGTTCTTCGGGATATATGGACTGTTTACCTATGTTCTTTGGGACATATGGATTATTTACCTATGTTCTTCGAAACATATAGACTGATTACCTAGGTTCTTAGAAACCTATGGACTGGTCCTTCGAGACAATTATACGAGTTGTGGTGACAGCATAATAGTGCACAACCTCAATGTACTCGCATACTTTAAGTTCTCACTGGTGTACATGGGCTTGAAATGTTTATGTTTTTATTATATGTTTTATATGCCTCACTAAGTCGTAGACTTAGCGTGTGATTTTTTCGCGCGTAGGTTCTGAGAAGAGAACGATTTATAAGAGTTATGCAAGACAGGTCAGTTCTACTTTTCAAAGATCAGATCAGAAAAGAAATGTATAGTATGTATTTTGTAATAAGGAAAGTGGTTGGCATGTAAATAAAGGATTAAATCTATTATGTTCTAATCGGTTTTGAAAAGTCATACAATTGAGTTTTGTAATGTTTTAAATGTGTTTATGTAAATGACAATTGTATAGTAATGAACGGTTAAATTTTTACGAGTTTTATGAACGTTTTACGAAGTAACTGTAGCAGTACTGTAGCAGTGCATCGATGCACTGTAGCAGTGCATCGATGCACAATTTTGCTTCGAATTTTTGATACATCGATGCACTGTAGCAATACATCGATACACTGTAGCACTGTTCATAGCACTATTTATAAATACGTTGTTATCTCAAAATTTTATACCAAACACAATTGAAGAATATATGATCGTATTTTCTTAATATAAGTTCAAATGTTCAGTTATTTTACAAGAACAAAGGTTTTAAAATGTCAATGTGACATCTCGAGACTCGTATCCGGATCGGGTACGGGTTGGGGTGTTACAGAGAGGTTCAAGAGCTTCGTCTCCGATGCCGACTCACCTGAATTCTCCTTCTCCGTTAAAAAAGATATCTCTCAGATCCACTCCCTATGCACCGATATGGATCACCTCTGGTGTTCCATCCCCGCCAAATCGTAATGCGATCTCTGGAAAAGGTATCTCCGCAAAAACGTCTACATATAAAATATCATTTCTCACTTTTTTTTGAATTTTCTAGTTTTTTCTAATTACTTCCTTACCTGTCTCCATATTTGGTTAAATTTTAGTAGTTATTTTAATTTGCCAATTTGATCATATATGTTTTTTATTGTTATTTTTTTATTCCAATCATCTTTAATCTTCAAAAGATTTAGGTCTTGGATAACTGATTAGTAATCGTCGTTTCTTTCCTGATTGTTTCAGTGAATTATCCATTTATCAATATAAGTTGAATTTTAGTTCTAGAGTGTTTTAGATGTGGTTGTACTACTCATTTTATCTTCACTTATCCTTGATTATTATGCGCGAGAGGTGGGAGTGGGCGTGTTTAGCTTGTCATCAAGTTGTCAATTATTCGTATGAATAGATTGATGATGGTGAGAATCCCCATGATTAAGTTTAACTTTCTTAAGGATGGTTCAATTGATGTTCTGGGTGACTTTAAGCAAATTTCAGTAAGACCATGGTGTGGAACTTGCAAATGATTCTAAGAGTAATAAATTGTTGTTGACGGTAGCTTTGCAGGTTCATTAGACATCAAATTTCATTCTTGCAATATCGATCTTAGACTCAAATCTCAAGCAGTTGGTTGTGAGCAAACTAAAACATCTTAAAGAGAGCAAACATTTAAAAGTTATCCTGTAAAAAAAAGCAACATTGCAACATGTCTTTTTGAGATACAATATGACATATGCTACTTGGTGTTTTTGTTTATTAAGTTAATTATGAAGTTATTTTGTGTTTGAGGTATGGTTATAAAATATTTACAAATGTTTTGTAAAATTAAGCGCCTCGCGTACGTGAATCCCCTACCTCAAAGCGCCTCAAAAATTGAGGCTCTTGGGTAGCTAATCACCTTGGAGCGCCTTGTGCCTTTTAAAACATAGGAAGAGAGGGCAAAAAGTCTAGGGAATACTTCTTTGAGAGAGGATTCCAAAGCCCAAACATCATGCCAGAAGTTAATATTCTCCTCATTTCCCACTCTGATTCAAAATTGGTTAGACATCAGGAGCCAAAAGAGTCATCTTTAAAAAAATTATTCATCACCGATCTCCACATCCATGAAGCCTGAGCTGGTAAACTTTTGTTAAGTAGCAACGATCTTTGATTTAACTTGTACTTGCTACATATCAACTGCCTCCACTTGGAATCCTTTTTCTTTTGTAAACTTCCAAGGCCACTTTCCCAAAAGGGTTTTATTCATTAGATTGAGATCCAACACTCCTAGTTCTCCATTGTCTTTAGATTTACAGATAGTCTCCCGCTTACCCAGTGTATTTTGTTCCTCTCTCCTCCTCCCTATAGGAATCTAGTCATGATGGAGTTACACAGTGGATGAGAGCTTGAAAATCGACAAGAAGTAGGTTGGGAGAGAGCACATAATCGCTTTTAATAAAATCAAACTCCCTTCCAAAGAAAGAGTTGTTGCCTTCCAACCTGCGAGTTTCCTATAAAACTTTTGTAAGACAGGTTCCCACAAAGATGTTGAATTTCTCTTAGCTCCGAGCGTAAGACCTAGATATTCGGATGGAAATAGGCCTACTGTGCATCCGATAGAACACGCCCAGTCCTTCACCTCATCTCCGCTTGTATTTATGCCAAATAAACTGTTTTTGGAGAAATTCAGCTGGAGACTCGACATAACTTCAAAAACACGTAAAAATCTATTCACATTTCTAATCTGCGTCTTCGAAGCGTTGCTGAAGACTATAAGGTCATATGCAAATTGAAGATGCGATAATTTGAAAGATCTATCATTCCTTCCAATTTCAAAACCGCAAAACAACCCACTGGAAACCGCCTTCAACAACAACAAATTAAGAAGTTCCCCAATCAAATTAAATAACAATGGAGAGAGAGAGCAACCCTGTATAAGTCCCTTAACCGTTAAAAATTCCTTAGTATGAACCCCGTTTACTAAAACCGAGACCGAAGCCGAAGTGACACATTTACTCATCCAGCTGTGCCATTTCACCCCAAATCTCATGTTCTCCATTACTTTGAACAAGATTGGTCAATCAACTATGTCATAAGCTTTTCTAAAGTCCACCTTGAACACACCTCCCTTAAGAGCTTTCTTCCTCCAATAATCAATCCCTTCATTGGCAATGAAGGAGCAATCCAGAATTTGACGTCCTGGAATAAAAGCAAATTGAGAAGGACTGATTATGTCACTGATACAAATTCTTAGCCTTCTTCATGGACACTTCGAAAGAATCTTATACATCCCTCCAACCAAACTAATGGGTCTATAATCATCTAGGCTTCCTGGATCGAGTCTCTTCGGGATGAGTGTGATGAAAGCGTGGTTGATTCCATGCTCCCAGTCTTTGCCCAAGAAGAAGTTCTGGAAGAATTTTATAATGTCTTCTTTGAGGAATGTCCATAACGTTTTGAACAACCCCAATTTGTTGTTATTACAAGAATTAATAGCCTCCCAAATCTCCTTCGAGAATTCCTTTTCTAACAAAAGACTTTGTTCCAAGGTTAATTTGGCAAAATTCAGCTTCATATCTCCAACTTCTAGAGTCGATTTGGAATTATAAACCTCAAAGAAATGATCTCGGACACTTGCCTTAATAAGAGTGGGATGATGAATGGAGACATTCTTGTGTGTGGATGTTGTTGAATGTTTAAAAGCATTTTCTAGACCATTACTTTGTTGTAGATGCATTAGGTTCGTATTCTTTGCACCCTTTTCTCCCTTCCTTTATTTTACAGGTTGTATAGTAGTACAATGTTTAAAAAGGCGAGGTGAGGGTGAAACGCCTAATTAAGTCTAGGAGAGGCAGTTTTAATGAACTGCAGCAAGGCGCACTAGGCGCTGCCATTTTTTTTTTAATTTTTTTTTTTTTTTTGCCTTTTATTATGTTTTACATACTAACTTATATATCAACAACAATATCAACAACAACAAAAAGTAAAAATGAAATGTCAATGAAGAAAAGAGTAAAACATGGTGGGGATGATTAGAAAAGAGAGTTTTATGGGAGACGTATGAAAATTTGGTGTGAAATACAAATAAAGGGGGTGCTTTACCTTATATAATCACGGTTTGTTTTGAAGTTTGAAAGAGAGAAACAAAGGGGATGAATAGAGGCCATTTTTTGTGTTAAAAAAGGCAATCAACTGAGCAAACAAAATGAGAGGGGCATGCATGCATAAATTGAGAATCGGGGGTTTCAATGAGTTTTGTTGCACAGTGATGGGTCTTGAGCAACAGGTTTAGCACATGGTGAAATTTGAATCCATGAGAAAGAGAAGAAAAGCTTGGAAACACAATTTAGAAATACGAAATTGGAGGATTAGGACGGATAGAGGAGGGGCTTAGGGTGTAGGTGGTGTTAACAAGGAGGAAGACGCGTTTGATGGAACAAAAGTGATGTTTAATACATAAAATGCTGGTAATGAATACTCTTTGATATTTATATTGTATGAACTGTTCTTTTTGTTTGATTATACAACTGGAAAAAAAAACTTGTATATCTTTTATTTTAAAAAAGTGTGCCTCACTTAAGTAAGGCGCGCGTCTTGCGCCCTGCTCATTAGCTATAAAATCCCTATCGCCCTAGTGCGGCTTGCGCCCTTTTCAACACTGCAGTAGTGGTGAAATCTCATTTGTACTCAGCAACTGTACTAAATGAATGAACTGAGTGCTCATCAGCTGTTCTTACTAGAGCATTATGTGGATAACTAATAAGTCTTTGTCAGCTGTTCACGGTTGTCATATTTATGGGATTAGACAAATAGACTCATTGCCATGCGACAGTGACATTAGTTCTTTTCGAAAATTTTATCATCTAAAACTGTATTAAGGTTAACCACTTATTACCAGCTTGCTTCGTCACCGAAGCAGTGAAGTGCCAGCACTTGGTTTTCCCTAATCATATAAGTTTTTAATTTAGATTTATTTTTTGTTTTTACCGTCGGACTTTGATTGCCAAAGTTTATGGGAATGGTGATGATGTGATTTGTCAAGCATATAGCAGTCTTAAAGTGGGAGTACCATCTTCAGCAATATTGAATGTACAAAGCGAACAACTTGCTGTTGGCCGTGAGACACCAATTTATCCTTTATTTTCTGAGGCAAGTGTGGACATCCTGAAGAAATCTCAATCAACTACTTATTCTATTCTGAATTTTGACACAGATTTTATTTTCAGGGAGATCTATTTTCTTTCTATGGGCTATGCAAAGATTATGAGTGGACTATAGAAAATGAAGAGGTTGAATTACCTGTTGTTTCCAATTGTGTTTGTCTGTGATGTATTAATTTGTCTTCGATTTTTGGATAATTGATTTATTAATGTTAACATATGCTTCAATTTTGCTGGATATTTGCATAAAGTATTTGTTTCATTTTGCTTTATAGGTGTTAACGTTTGGGGTCCCGCTGGTTGGTTCAGAGGCAGTTCAGCGCTTTAATTATGTGGATAAGGAAAAACTTAGTTTTATCAATGTCCTCTATGGACGGTACACTTCTATTAATGAAAATTACCGTCATCTTTCTTTTATGGAAACCCATCATCATCATGTTATTTATTTACTGCTTCATGTAACCAACAAATTATGACTGTGCACTTGAAACTATAGTTTTCATTTTGGAAATGATTGGGGTGGGGGGCACCTTGATGAATATGGTTGTTTTCCCTACTTCTTCGCAAAATTGTTCATTGTGAGGTATCCCTGCTGGAGTTCGAGTGCGTAAGTAGTTTATACTGCATTTTATTAGTTTGATGAATGATTTATAAATGTCATTTTTCACCAAATTTATTTGTTTTTTAGAAGTTATTAGGAAAATCTGAAGTTGGTGTTTCCTTTAAGGGAAGGTATTTATTTAAGTTAAAGGTTTATCTGCAAGGTTAATACAGTAATATTCTTTTGAATGTCTCTTGGAATATAACTATTGATTGAGATGAGAAGGCACTATTTGAGTCCAAGCTCTTACAAAATGATTTTGAAATAGAAAGGAAAATCGTGAAAAATCCCTTTCTGCCTCTTTGAAGTATTGAAATTTGGTCTTAGATATTTGATATTATTCAGGAGAAAGATGATATCTAGGTAAATTTTGATTAAATTTGTTCATATGGCCAACAATGTTCAAGGCCTAGATGATCTTGTAGCTATGTTCAGGAAATACAGAAGCTTAGGGATTTTATGGATTTCAACATGATTTGCAACTTACAGGCTCATGCTTGTAATTCAAATTCAATCTAGAAGTGATTATAAATCTATGTTGGCAAGTTGAATCTTTGTTATCCGACCAAACTATCTAATTATGCTAGCTATTCTAATGAGCACTTATCTCTCTTGTTCAGGGCCCCTGGAAGAACAAATATTGCAGTTTCATTTTCATGTGATTTTGTTTATCCTGTTTCACACCTAAAGGCAAGGACTTACAATGCATCCCTCTCCCTATTGGTGGTGTCTGATCTTCCCCTGGCACTTGGAGATCTAATTACATGGGTTATTCCTCCCCCATTATACCACATCTAGCATCTTGCCTTCATCAACAGAGTCACATGGACAAAAAGATAGTCAGAGCCGCAAAGGGAGCATAATATATTCTTTGTTAAGAAATTGTGAGGAAGAAACAGAAGTTTCACAGCGTGCTGTTTCCATTGATGGTGACAAAATAAAAACAGAAGAGAGCAATAATCTTGCTTGCATTCTAGCCAAAGATTGCATCACTGGAAGAGTTGAGATTGCTTCTTGTGTCCGGGTTGCTGAGGTAATTTTACAACCTTTTGTATTTCCTGCTCAATAACTAACATATGTAGCAATTAGTCAATATTCCTTTACCATTAGCCCCTTTGACTATCAAACTTTATTACTGTTCATATATGTTTAAAATTTATACATGTTACTTAGTCGCTTATTTATTTGATGTCTCATCAATGAAAGGACATAGTGTTAAACACAAGTGTTTCAACATTTACGTAATATCTTTTGGGAAGATAATATATATTCCTTCTAGGTGGAGCAAATAAGAATAACAAACAAGGAGTTTCCAGTCCATGCAATCGATCTTGCTGTTGGTGCAGAAATTGAACTTTCAACAAGCTATTATGATGCTCCAGGTAAGGTTGTTATGTCAAACTATTTCCACACTGTTATTTTTTAGATCCTAATTGACATTCTCTTGTGATTTTATTTCCCAGGAAACCCCTTTTATGAGGCATCTAATGTTATTCTCCACCATGCTGAAACTAATTCTCCGGATGTAATCTCTGTTAACAGTACCCGCGATACCAACATGATTCATCTAAAGGTCTGTTAATCGATTGAAATTAATTCTTTTTACTTCTATTGCTTTATGATTTATCATATAGACTGCATTGACTAAAAGATCTCATTCAAATGCATGACAATTTAACGTTAAGTAATATCATTTAATCAAATGTTTTGCTTGAAGGCAATGCGACATGGTAGAGCTCTTCTACGGGTATCAATTGACAATTGTCCTCAGAAATCGGACTATATGCTGGTACGTATTTCCTCAACACTAAATTTACTTTGGTCAGACAATCATTGCACAACATGCACCCGCACGTTCATGAATGCTATAAAACTTTCTTAGGCTGATTTTTCTTGAGCTTATTCTAAGCATATGCCTTGTTTTGGTATTCATTATATTCAAATTCAATACATCCTATCCTCCAAAATTCACTACATTTATTTCTATTTGAGAAGCTTTCTACTTTGACCAAAATCTATTCATTTGTGTGCTTAAAATAGTTTCTCTTCAATTTATAAGCCTTAACCTTCATTTCTTCAGATTTCAGTTGATGCCCATGTGCAGCCCCAAAATACTTTCCTCCTCCAGGGGAGTTCTATTAACTTCAGTGTAGTAGGTGGGTTTATGGTGAAGTATTATTTCTAACAAAGGATTTTATCTTGTTTACTCTAATATGGTTTTTTGTCCATTTTATGTGTTAGGCTGTGATGATCAAGCTTCAGTGTCCATTTTATAGTGTTATAGTTTTACACACTCGATCTGGACAGGCAGAAGCAGTTGGGGAGGGATCTACCCAAGGTACTAAATAATCATTAATAATATCCTTATATTTTTGTTGAATCTTCCGTGTTTTAGAAAATTTATGTGAAATATTTCATCATACTGAGATGCCATTTGATTCAATGTTTGTTATTTTAATAGTTTATTTTGAAAGTTCCGATGTGAAGCTGCAAACGAAAGTCACAGTTCTACCTGGAAGTACTCTTGCTGTGGATGCTCCAAAGGAGATGCTGACAAATGTTCCTTTTCCCTCTCAAGGATATAGCTTTTCTGTGAAGTTCAGGTTTGTAGATTAACTATTGCTTTTAAGCGTGTTATGTCGACTTGCAACTTGACTCGGAATGGTTATTCTAAAATTTCAACTGGTTAAGAAGACAACTTACGGAAAATCAACCTTATGAACATTAGAATTTTGTTTAGTTGTGTTTTGAGCAAAACAAATACGGTGAATAATCAAAATTTTTAACTCTTACCATACGCCAGTGATACAAATGACAAGATCAACACCATTGGAAGCAGTAAAGGAGCTCCATATGACTGTAGGGTAGACCCTTCTTTTGTTGGGTATCTCTCTTTCTCTCATTCAAGTTTGAATGTTGATCAGGCAATATAAGAAGCATGCTATATGTAATGATTTTTGTTCTCTGCAGCTATGCAAAGCCGTGGGTGGATATTGATACTGGCAGTTCATTTTGCGTATTCTTCCCGTACTCTCCAGAGCATTTGGTCCACACCGCACCCAAGTTGATGGACATGAAACCTTATATTTATGTTTCCATCAATGCTTCATTGAAAGAACACAGCCATGTTTCTGGATCCGCATCTGCACTTTTTGTCGGGGGATTTTCCATCATGCAAATGGGAAAGGTAACTGGTTAATGATTTATATTATTTATTCTCAATAAGGAATACCTATGTTGAATTTGAGGATTATTTGGTATGTTCGTAAGTTGTAACAAGTTTTTTGTTCATTAAACGTGAATAAGGATCGTGGACGATTTTCTAAATGTTGTGTTTCAGGATACGACACAGTTGAATCTGACACCAGACTCTAACAAGACTATCATAACCATCTTGGGAAATACAGGTAAAATACCCGAGCACACAATCGGTCTCTTTCTGTGCATCTGCTCGCCTCCTTTATCGTTTGCCAATTGAAACTTACAGCCAATTGATGGATGGTTGCAACTGTGAACCATTCACATGTCATTTTTCGGTTTCGACATTTGGAAGTTGGAACTTCTAGAAGTTCTGTTTCTGTACCTTTTAGAAAAGGTCTGAAAGTTTTCTCGAGATTGAATGTTTGGTCTTAATAACGTAAATTGTATGCTAACCTCGCTGATGCATAAGACTATTGTTTGTGCAATGCAATCTCCAGCTTCCACTCCCACTTCCTACTGTTGCAGTCCATGTTTCCATTTGTCAATCAACTATTATTCTCCTCTTTTCGTATGATCTCTGCAGATGTTGAAATCCACTGGCATGGCCAAGGTTTGTTAATGATTAATCCCATTCACGAAGAAGGATTTGGTGCCGCTCGCAGCATACAGTATGAGGTGAGAGTTGCACATTCTTATTGAATAGCAAATTTGGTGGCGATGATTTTTTAGACTCCTTTTTGATTTCTTGATCTTGATCTTTACTCTTGTTTGCAATTTCAGGTAAAAGCATCGAGTGCCAAGCGATTCACGGATAAAATCATTGTCACACTCCCGTCTACCGGTCAGCTTAGTCTTGAAACCGGATTTTTTTATTTAGATGTTGAATAGCTTCTCTAATCTATTCTTTCTTTTATTTCAGGTCAAAGAGCGGAATTGGATGTTAACTATGAACCGGATGAGAAACCCTAAACCAAAAGCTACCATTAATATTTATTTTTGGGCAAAGGTCGTGGGAAGTCTTGCCCTAACAGTAATCACAGTGATCGTCGGCTTCATATGTTTACCTGAGCGACCTCTTGGATCATCTCAGCCATCATCCACTCCACAGCCCACTTCAACCATATCAGCACCTGTCACGCCCGACTGGAGAAGTCCCCTTCGTTTCGATGAACAATCTCCACAGACACCACAACCATTTGTAGATTATGTGAGGAGAACCATAGACGAGAATCCGTACTATCGGCGAGAAGGTAGGAGGAGGTTTAATCCTCAGAACACGTACTGAATCTCTATCAATTTGGCATCCAGTGGATCTACCTTTTTTGTTGATTGTTTAGAAGTTAGAATCTGGCGAAAAGTTTGCCAATTTTTGTTGTATCAACATATGTATATTAAGACAACTTTTAACTTCAAATTTCAATGACTCGATGATCGGTTCATAGTAGGCTGTATGCATAAGTTCATATTTTTAATTTAGTTCGTCTTAGTATTAATTTTCGTGTCATAATCATGCTCAAGGTGTTTTTGTTTTCTTTTTAAGTTTTGATTTGTTATATAAATTGACGCGTTCGTAAATTTGTAGTGTTATTGTTACATCTATTTTTGCTATGGATGGGTAGAGGGAGTCATTCAGATCTAATTTAGATTAGGTCAAATTGGAGTTTATGTTACATTCAGTTTAGGCTTGATTCAGGTCGAATCAAATTTAGTTCAGAATTTTGGGTTTATGGTGAGTCAAGTTGGGTCTTGGGTTTAGGTTAATATTAGATCGGATGCATATTAAATTGGTTAATTTTTTAATTGGGTTAACCTTTGGATCTTTGAGTCATTTTGAGTTGAATTAGATACGAGTTCAATCGTATATACAAAATTACTGATATATTTTTATGAAAGAAATTATCTTTTTATTCGTCAATCTAATTATATACGTTTAATTCAAAATTAGTTATTATTAGGGTTAATGATGAATATTTGTCAAGTCCTTGCATGAATCTATACAGGGATTTTAAAAAAATTGATGGAGTCGAAATTAGGTTTGAAGTAAAATTATCGACCTTAGTACATATAATAAGGTTTTAATTTTGAGACCACTTTAAGATTCAAAGTGAAGTTCAACTTTTTTATACAATTTTATTATTTTTTAAATTTCATTAATAAATTCAGTGTATTTGATATACGTAGGAGTAGTTGAATCTATTTATTTGACATGGTTTAGTTAATCTCTTTTGGATGTAAACTTTTTATTTGAGGCTTGTGTTTTATGTTTTCTTTTAATGTTAACTATAACTATGTTGTCTAAGTAATGTCAGTTAAAATTAATCAAATGATCTAAGATTTCATATAGTGAATAGTTTTATTCTATAATATTTCGTATAAAATATTTAGAAAAATAAAAATTATCGGATGAGATACATAGATGATTGTTTAAAGGAGAAAATAAAATATTGAACCACTAAATTATTATAAAAAGAGATAATAATTTAACACATTGCTAAAATCATATCATACTGATAACTAGTAAAATAACACAAGAAATATACATCATTTTATTATTTATTATATTGTTAATAATAGATAATAGTAATAAAAAATTGTTGTTCACTTTGATTCAATTATCATGTTAAAATCAAATCCATATTCGGTTCATATCAAATTTAAGCAAATTAAATTTAAGTTATTTTTTATTCAATTTACTTTCATTTGAGTCAAATTAGGTCAGTCAATATCGATTCATCCAATATTTGAGTTGGCTTTGGTTCATTTCAATTTTGTTGAATTTCAGATCTAATTTGAGTCATCATGTTCGGGTACATATCCCATCTTGGATTGAAACAATTGTGAAATCGAATTATCAAGATTGTAGTAATTGATCGATTCATAATGAATCTTGAAATTCACTTTCGTAGAAGCAGAAACATACAAATACTGACATATAATTTAAAGTTCTAAACCCTAGCAGAGATTGCAAAATAAATTTGGTCAACTTAATGATCACATAAGATTTTAAAATTTTCTAATCGGTATTCTACGGATTTTTTGGAACTAAGAATAATATCATTCGAATTAATCATCTCTTAATTCATTCAAGAATAGCTTATCACATATGACTTATCAGGAAAAAAATCAGTGATTAGAATCATGTACGAAATAAATTCATGACTAATATGGACTACATAGAATGCTCATGACATACCATAAGGTTAAACCGTCTATATCGAACTTATTTCACAACAGGTCAAATATAATTTATCATAACAAAAAAATTTAAGGGAATTATATATACTTTATTTCTTGTGTTAACCGAGAAGATCCCTGTATGGCTCGAGATCCTATGACATCGAAATAGTTAAACATCTTATCCATAAAGAAATCATATTGTATTAGTTGTGTAGACAGTGATTTTTGCTCCATGATATCATTATTATTATTATTATTATTATTATTATTATTATTATTATTATTATTATTATTATTATTATTATTATCATCATCATCATCATCATCATTACAAGCCACAAAAAAGGGGTCCAATAGACATGGGTCCAAATCACATCACTAGGCCCGATTACAACACTAAACAAGTGACTCGATTCTGACCTAAACTCAAGCCCAACAACCCAAGGACCCAAGAGGATCCGACCCAACCTAATAACACCCTAGAGTTTCTGAAACCCTAACCCTAGGGAGTTGGTATTGTTGATGTCGCCTCTTGCTGCTGCCACCACTGTCACTCTTGCCATAACCATTTCAACCAACCACCTGCACCAAATCAACCATAAAAAAAATATATCCCAAAGCAAAACCTATTTTCGATGGAGAACACAAGACAAAAGAAGTCGAGTCACCGAAAATAGGATAATGATATCATATTTTCTCATGGCAACAGGACATCAACCATCAATCAACCAACAGAGGGGCTGAGGGAGATAAAAGGGGAAATCAGAGAGATAGTTGGGGGAGGGATTTTGAACAAAAAAAAAGTAAAATCTAGAGATCTATTCAAAAAGAAAAGGAAAGGGAAAACTTAGAGAGGGAATAGAAGCTTACCTTTGGAGCCAACCTTCATCATCGGAGCTTCCAAACGCTGACGAGAGGTCTCGATTTTCGAAGGTATATCCCTAGATCTATGGTGTTTGGATAGTTTTTAGGGCTAAAGGTGTTTAGATTCGGGTTTAGGTTAAAAAGGGGTTAATTTGGGGTGGTTTTTCGAGCTCCGATCACCGTAGGCTGCGGCGGAGAGCGTTGGTGGTCGGTGGTCGGGGGGCTGTTGGTCTGATCATTGTTGGGGAAAAGGTAGAGAGAAGTCAAAGAAAAAAAGGCTTCTCTCGTTCTAGAGAGAGAGGGGAAAATGAGAGAAATGAAGGCTTAAGGTTATTTGGGGTCGGTTATTGGGTATGTATACCCTCCCTCATACGAAGTCATTTTGGGGGTTCCATGGGGGGTGGGAGAACCATCTCCGTGAATCTTGTACCTTTTAATTTTTTCATTTTAGTCACTGTATGCAAGTTTTAATTGTTATACTATGAACTCTAGATTTATCCCCGTTTATATTTTAGTTTATACTAGTTATATTTTTTATGTTTATTTTAATTTGAGTACCCTATTTTAACATTTTTCATTTTGATCCTAAAATTTAGCAGTGGTTAAATTGCCTTTCCAGTGCCTATTTTGTGTATTATTTTCGTTTGTCCATGACTTTCGATTGTTTACAGTTTAATCCTTAAGTTTAAAATTTTAATTCTGAATAATATTATTGGGCTATTTACGATTGAAATGCCTAAGATATGAAATGTTTGCATTTGTTGCCTTAATCTTTTGTTAGTTTTGTAATTGAATCCCTAAAGTTATTATATTTATCATTTTGATCCCTCATTTACATATTTATAAATTTCCTACTAATCGAGGTACTTTTATATATTATTTTATACGAATGATTCAAGGAAACGACCCTTAACTGACAAGGAGCGTGTTTCTAAGAATTGTTCGAGTAAAATAATGCCTTTTATTTTTAAATAAATTTTTATCCTTTTGTATTTTTATTTATTTTATTAGATTCATTGTATCTAAAAACTCTAAGGAAATATTACTTTGTACGAGGAATCAATAAAAATACCCTCTTAACTGACTATAAAGGTATTTTCGAGGATTGTTTGTACAAAATAATATTCCTTTTAATTTATTAAAAAAGAGGATTATAATTTAAATGTATATTCAAATTTGTCAATTTCAACATTTAAATGACGTATAATCGATTAGGTACCGATTTCGGACGTTGTGGGAGTGTCAATCCTTCCCCACACGTAATCGACTCCCGAACTCTTTTTCAAAATGAATTTCTGGTTAAAAACATATTATTTTTTTATCTTTTAAAATTATTTTTCTTAAAATTATTTTAAAATGTATTTTTAGGTATTCAACCTACCTAACCCAAAGGTCGATGGCGACTCCGAAAAATACATTTTTATATTTATTTTGAAACCCAACTTTTTCCTAAGATTAAGTTGGATCGATCCCCACAATGAGCCCTAAAAAACTTAAGGATCGTTCGGACAAGTTGCAAGTCACAATAATCAAACATGAAATAAACTCCAATGTGACACATGTAAAATATATACAAAAGACTTAGGTTTAATCCTAGAATTGACTAAACTTAGGTGCTAATACCAAATATAACACATATAACTAGGTCTAGAAGAAAATCATATAAAAGATATTACAAAACTTAAACTGAAATCAAATGTTCATAAATCATACATAATATCACTTAGAAACATCAAACGGAACCAAATTATCAAAATTCTAAATTGTATCATTGTGCTTATCACTCACTAATTAAATCACAATTGATGTGTATCAAAAAAAATTAAATCACAATTGATTTCCTACTTAGGGTTTTTATTAAAATAAATAATGACAAAATTAGTTTATAATGTTTGAAAAAATAATCACTTTGGTCCCTATTTTTTAAGCACTTTGACCCTCAATGTTTCTTCGTGAGGCCAACACTTAGTTGATTAATTGAACCAAATGCATTTTGACCCTATGCATAATGAAAATCATTAGTTGATTAATAGGCAACACATCCTATTAACGTTACATTTCTATATGGATTAGAATGTTAAAGTGACATGTCCACGTGGGATGTCACATCAACAAAAATAATATTTTTAAATTAATTAATTACAAGTAATTATTTTTTATTAAATTAATAATAATTAATACGATGACATGTTACATTATTTGACTAAAATTAAATTTACCCAAAAATAGGCTATAGGAAATTTAACCCAAGTTTAGTAAGGCTTG